TGCTTTGGTCAGGGTCACGGTATAGACAGGGTATATATACATATATCAGTACTGACTTTGAATGTTTGTACATGGGGGTTCGCCTTATACATGGGGTCACTTCATTAGAGGCAATACACAATATGTGCAATAATTTACAATTATTTGACCAGGATACAAAGTTAGACGGAGAGTTTCTGAACTTAAACAAAACTGTTAAGATTGTGAATTATTGCTTTAAATTATTTCATCAATATGACAATATCATCTCAATATGTTTATTTCTAAAAGAATGAATGGATAGATTGTTAGGCTTGCAAATATAAAAATTTACTGTTTAGTCTTGGTTTTGATTTAGCTTTTATAAAGCAACATTTGTGAAATATATAGGGTCTTCTTTGCATGTTCAAAAAGATGTTGACATTGATAAATAGTGATTGATGGATAAATTGCAACATGGCTCAAAGGTAAATTGTTTAAGGAAATGCTCTATTAAGTCATTCATAAAATCACTTTTCACTTGTACATGTTCATGTTTAATGTATAGAACTTATTACATTTCAATGCAAAAATTGATGATTGAAGAAGGGAGAAAATTAAATGTTATACCTGATGGAACACCATGCTGATGTACATGCTGTTTAGTACAAATAAGTCCTACACTGTGATCTGTCATGCACTGTGATCTGTCATGCAAAATGTATTTTCTTGGGATTGAAAAAGCATGGAAGTTGGTTTGTATACTACTTAAGTACTTATGATTAATCTCTACTTAAGTTTAAGGTGCCCCAGAAAAGTATTGTCAGTTACACATATAAATATAGTGGCCTAATTACTTGAATAAACTTCACTTGTAAGGGAAAGAAATAATGCTACTGGCCGTCTCTTTATCTCTAAAACAACTAAAACCATACTCACTACTACAAAAATAACTAATACTACTAATAGGTTTTAACTGCAACAAACCAATGAGCCCTGTGTCAAAAAGTATGCAAATATGACTCGCATGATTTTGGACACATTCAACAATACCTCCAATGAAGATGTTATCTTTTAATGCAACAAGAGTCAAGATATGACAAACACCCCATCCCCCAATTTTTTTTTATTTTATTTCTTTTAAAATTTGATGGAGGTAATCATCAAGTCCTACAAGAGTTATATGTCTAACTTCATGAGAGTATATGTATCTATCTGACAGGTTGAGTAGTGAGCAATAGAAAATCAGTCATCAGAAGATGAAAAATCCACCCGGCCCCCTTTTTGAAAAAATATATCATCTGACAGTTACCTGAAGTCCAACTTGATGAGAGAAATTCTGTCTAATATGTCTGTATATATACAAGAGTAGTTATTGAGCTAACAAAACAATAACATGAAACTAGGATTCATAACTTTGTACCACTATGTCAGGTACACACCAATATCAAAGTCAAAGGAAAAAATACAAATTTAAAGCTCCCTAATAGCAAAAGGCAGTAGCTGACAACCTGGTTTTTGTTTGTGCAGATTCATGAATGAATACCCATTAGTTTCAGAGATATGGTCCTGACAAACACAACACTATGAACAAGAGTCAAAATCAAACTTGCTACCATGGAAACAGACAAAACGTGAATTCTTAACAACACATGTAGCACAAGGCACCATTTGACAACTTTGTCTTTGCCTGTGCACAGTTTCATGAAAGAATACCTATTAGTTTTGGAGATATGGTCCACAAATCACACCACTATTCAAACTTGAAACAACAGGAAACAAATTCATTTTCTTAAAATCCCTAAATATTAAAAGGCACCATTTGACAACCTGTTCACTGTGTGTGCAAAGTTTTGTGGATGAGTTCCTATTCTTCTTAGAGCTACAGGCCAGACAAGAAATTCTTACAGACACAAGGAAGGATGGACAGACAGACAAGTTGATTACTATATCTCCCCACATTATTATACGGAGATAACAAATGTCACCACATGTTAAATTAATCAAAAAGGTTATCAATTTCTATCCATTACTATTTCTTCGACATATATTTTACATGGTGTGGCTTTGGATTATCAACTGATCACAGCGAAAAATGTAGACTAGCTTCCATATCTACGATATATATGGAAATGTTTTTCAAACTATAACATGATTTACAAGAATGTGCAAGAATAGTTACAAAAATTATGTTTATGACATATTATTACATAAATAAAAATTACTAATATTATTACATAAATAACAATAAAAAGCCATCTATAAATTCCTTGCTTGCCTTAAGTTAAAGCGTTTGCTCGTCACACCGAAGACCCGGGGTTCGATTTCCCACGAGTACAATGTGTGAAGCCCATTTCTGTTGTCTCCCCGCTGTGATATTGCTGGACTATTGCTAAAAGCGGCGTAAAACTAAAACTCACTCACACCTCGCTTGCCATTATCAAAAGATTTCAATCAGACTCATCTTCCATTTATCTACTGGCATTATAAAATACTTTTATATTAGAGCTGAAGCGATTAATCGTAGGATCGGTTAATCGTTCGATCTAAGTCAAAATAAACTATTGTCGATTACAAATAAACTGAAGATCGATAATCGGAAATAATCATTGTTTGGAAGCACATACATTAAAACGTTTAATTCTACCTTGTCATGTCTTTTTTTTACCGAACAATCTGATCGTCATTGCTTGCTTACTTCTAAAATGGAAGCTGTGTACTACACAAGTGTGCATTCCTTCCCGGTCAGCCAATGGCAATGCTAGATATATTCAGATTGGGGTGTTCTATTTCGTCATTGAATTAGTATACGGGTTGTAAAGTGGTTCATAAAAAATAAATAATATTCATGAGAAAACTGTGCCACACTTATTCGTCCAATCATGCAACAAAATGTCACAATACGACCCAGGTATTACAGGTTAGCAATTTTCTAATTGGCTGAAAGAGGGAATTCCTTGAGTTGCATTTGCATACAAACACGTGCCTTTCGGAAGGTGGTTTAAAATAGAGCTATTTTTGGTTTCATGAATTCTCTTGAACTTTCGATACAATGCATAATTATAATACTTCACGGAAAAAAAATTGTGTTTCAACATTAAGGAAACGTCTTTGTTTACCCGTCAACATCAACACAAGACAGAAGAAAGTTCTTTTAAAAAATGGCATGACATGAAAATAAATCTATCAGTGTGGTCACATGACTAGTAGCGTGATCTTGTAAGGTGGGATGTCAACTAAGCAGACGAAACGTAAATGGCATCTTTGGAGTAAAGATTTAGGACTTTTGTGCATATGATTATGAGGTAGAGATTGCGTTAAGGATCCCCGAGTTAAAATGAATCTTTTGTGATGTTTTTATACTGGTGCCTACGTATTCGTAGCATATTTATGTCAGACCGATAGCAGAGATCGCTGGTGCCTATGCATTCGTAGCATATTTATGTCAGACCGATAGCAGGGATCACTTTGTCATCATGCTTCTCATGGATTTTCTCGAATTTTCGCGCCATAAATGGGAAGTGTAATGGCCGATCGAAAACATATTACGATCGGAAACGTGAGACAATAGGATACTTGATGATCCAAACACGCTGCAAAGGCAAGTAACTTGCTAGCGTTAACAATTGACACGTGCTGACAACCCGGAAGTTAGTTTGCCAACATAGGTATTTGACTATGAAATGACCGCCCAAACGATTATAATCGATCGATTATCGATCTGAAACTAGCGATTGTCGATCCGACAAAATGTAACGATAACCAGCTCTACTTTATATATGCATACAAACTCAAAGACTCAACAAGCAAACCAGACAGGGAGACTTGCTCGTTCAATTTAAGTTAAAAAATAACCCAAATGTTGACCCCCCTCACAATTTCTGTTCTTGACCTAACAACTTCCCACTCTCACCTGTGCAAACAAACATGCCTCAGGAACAAAACTACTGAAATGTAGCCTCACAATGCTCAAACCATATCCACAACACAAGAGGTCAGTTTCAGAAACATACTAGCCAGCGAAAACACCTGTTCTTGAAACAAATTGTCTTCCAACATTGTCCAAAACAAATGTTTTCAACAAAACATTTTCACTAATGATTATGATTTAGTTATGGACTAACAGATATGCAAATTAACATTATTTTTCCACAAACTAATCCTATTACATATACAGTGCCTTTTGCTTGAATATATAATGGCTCATCAGCTCATTGACTTCATTTGTGTGTAAGTAATTGCAGGTTCTCAGCTATTTCTGCTGACCAGGGCTAGACAAGTTGACCAACAGGTCCAAACGTCATGAGTTGTACCACAGAAGCTAACCTGCAGCATAAGTCTCATTAGTCTTGTCAAGTCAGAAACAAACACACCAAATCCCTTAAATGCACAAGGCACCAGTTTAGAGCATGCCTTATGTGTATATAAAGTTTCACGAAGAAACATTGAACTGTTTGAGTTATTCTCCATCCATGAAAGATGACGCATAGAGACACTGGACATCGTCTATTTCTATCAATGCATCATGTCTATGTGTTCTATATTCCCTGGAAAACTTTGTTCTGGCTGGGGATTATTATTGATTATTTGTCACAACGTCACAAACTAAGACAGTCCTTTGGACTAAGTTTACAACCGAGATAGGACAATGCAAGAAAACAGCAGCTTGCCCAGGCAGACTTATAATATATGATTCAAGCAAGCATTCACAGAAAGTTGGTTGCTCAGCTGTTAGTTGAAAAGTGAATCTAGTTGAACAATTCCTGTATACTTGGCAAATGGACAATCTCATCAAAATCAGATGTTTAACTCCAATATGATACATCTCTCCATGAAAATCCAAGGACTCTGAGGTGGTCAGGTTAGGTGACATGTCTGACTAGCCAACCAGCTTCAACATATTCAAGTATTCTAAATTCTTGGTACAATTTGAGCATATTATCATCACAAGCAGAGAGATATTGAATTTGAATTCAATGAGATTGGCATCTGAAATAAACAAGTATTCATAAATAATAAAATAAATCATAAAAGACACTTACTTAGATTTTTCTGACAAAATTCAGAAGTCCAGCACCTGTTTTCAGGACACCCTTCAGGACAAACATTAACACACTCCTGTTCATCTTTGTTTTCCTCGAAGTAGTGATACTGTACATCCACTGAGGTGGCAATTTTTGACCAATCAATTGTATCAATGTAACACAATTTTGTATTTTTCTGTAATCGCACTGCTCCACGCATGATGGTCGTCAAGCCAATCAAACCTAGAGTTTCTAAATCTTGCATTTCATAAGCAATTAAAGCATAATTGTTGAAGAGATTCTGTCCCCTAATCACAGAAAGGTTGGGAAAAAGATTCCGCAAGGTGCGTAATCCATAAACTCTATACAACAACAAATGATCCGTTATTTCCACTAGTTTGGGGAAGCTGTATTTTTCATAATCTAAGTGGGTGGCTTGGTCAATCAGAAGAATATGCAATTGGCCTTCTATTACTGTGCAGTTTTCCAGTAATTCCAAATTCTTCACTTTGTTCCGAACATCGATTGAGGCACACACTGAAAACAGAAGAACAGAATGAATAACAACCTTAAACATGTTTGAATACTACTGGTTGTTACAACATAGTTAAATCTGAATTTTATTTATTCTTGGAACTGAGGATATCAACAATACAATCAATATTTTTGCCTGTTATTTTACATAAACTTCTACAACATATTTTTACAATCCCTCTAATTTGAAATATTGAGCTTATCATTCATATTATTACCCAACTTATTTCCCCAAGATTCGTTGTCTGCAGGGATTTTTTTAGGTATATCAGGATAGTTTTCTCTGTGTATTTATAAACATTGCATGCAACGTAATATATGTATAACTAACAATTAAACCCTGTTATTAGTGACATAAAAGTCAGATCTACAAAGCCATATGGGCTGCAGACATGGGATAAAAGATCAGCCTTCGGTATATGACCTGAACTGCCTCTAGTCCATCTAAGATTTTAATTGCTATAGGTGAGTGTCAGTTACAAAGACACATGGTAAGTGTAAATGGACTTGATCACATTCCTTGTTTTAGGCTTTCACCAAAATGTTCTGCGCAGTCAATACATGATGACATGTTATTAGGATATTTTCATGATTTTAGCAAATTTTGATATCATATCTTTCTGTACCATCACCAAAAAACATGTGCCGACTGAGAAAGTGGTATTTCAGTGACTGATTATTGTATCATATAATCTGTTATTGACAAATGTCTCTGACCAAGTTCTCACTTTAACATAAGGTGATGTCAGCTAGGAAAGGCAAATAAAAATAATTGGGATTTGTTTCTAGACATGCTTAGTTCTAAGAAACATGATATTTTTTCTACTGGCCAAGAGACAATGTTTAGAAAAGCACAGAAATAAAATAAATGCACTTAAAATATTATGAATATCTTTCAGGATTTCAACATCCTTTTTGGATAAGAGTTCCTCCCATTCCCCCATCCCAAATAATATTTATAAATACCCCATCCCAAATAATATTTATAAATATACTAAAATTATTAACAAAACTTGTCACAACAATTACTAGAGAACTCACAAAATGACTAAAAGTCCAAAACTTAAGTTGGGGTTAGGCTTAGGGTTTGGTTTAGAGTTGGGGGAACGGAAGGAACTCTTTTCCATTTTGGATTCAAGACAAATATATACTTGGCAACATTTTATTTCAATTTGGAACCAAAACAACTGTAACATACACGAGGTGTGCATTTAATATCAAACTTTTCACTTAAATAATATACTTACCCCAGTAAACATAAAAGTAATGATTTTTTTGGTTGAATATATGGTCTTACACATTAGTATTATTTTGAAATTGTGAAGCTGGAAACTAGTACTCTAGACCGAGTACAGAATAAATACTTAGGCATGTTCCTTATAGGTAAACAACATCTTCGGGTCACTGTGACCTGACAAGAACACTTACCTCCGTCCTTTTCCGCTGCCTCCCCCACGGATTTAGTGAGTGAGTTTGGCGATTGGGTTTTACTCCCTACGACTTCTGACACTATGAACAGAATCAAGCAAATGTTCAGCGCGAAAAGACAAAACACGTTTTTCTTTTGGAAGGTCATACCGACTGAGTGCGATCAGTTATTCGTTAAAACGATAATAGAACACAGAGCAAAGCCAAGCGCTGGAGGAGTTTACTTCGCCATGGCGGGGTTTATCAATGAATGGCCAAATGCGTTGTTCGGCATACATGCAGAAACCATTCCCAGTGCATGTTTCACACGTCAACCCGACTAGCCATAACAGTCTCCGATGTCCATTACTGTGTCTTGTCTATATAATAACCCTCTAGTCGACGATCAAAAATCCAAACTGCTTGCAAATTGTAGTGTCAACAACACACCAAGGGAACAAAAATAATCACACAGCCTTGAACTTCTGTTATGAAGTGAACACGACAGGCTCAAAAATGTTAGCCAGTATGTTGAGGGTAACACGCGAACAGGTCCAATTATTTCCTGATCAGAAAATATACACTTAAAACAATCTTCTGGTAAGTGTAGATGCCACTTAAAGATGAGGATCAGGAAACAGATTCTCTAAAAAGGTCACACTCGTAAAGATGGACTCAGTGCAGCGGAAAAACAGACGTAAACAACCTCTCGCGCTGATTGGCTGGTATTCAATACTATTTCCCTAACACCGTACTATGGAACTCGGCTTTTCTTCCAATTTGCTTCTCAGCTGACATTCCCAGGTTATGCTGAACAGGAACACATCCAGCCACACCACCCTTACGTCAGTAATAACCTGTAATCCTCGATGTGTATGAGCGAATCAAAAGAAAGCAATACATACAATTTTGGAGATAAACCATTCGTTTTTACAAGTGCCTAGAAACTAGGTACCTAGGAACTATTTTATAGATTTTGTTTTTGTTTAAGGTAATGGGTTCGTTAGCAACATTTACGTTAGCAACGTTTACTGTGGAGGAATATGCATTATCAATCTCTCAGACAACCATGTTATGCTAAGTATATCACAGACAGAGTATCTTCAGACTATCGACCAGTTTCTGTACGTGACAGAAATCATTAAGCGGGCACCTGCTCTCTATGTACAAAAAGAGTTGCACAAAATTACACATGATTACTGCCATTTGCTGCAAATAACAGCAAAGAAATAATTCAACACTATGCATGATGCGGTGATAAGAAAATTAAGAATGTATGTTCAAATTAAAACGCTCCGATTTTCAACATGGCATTCTGTTGATTGGCCGACACGCTTCGTAGATAAGGATAACACGTATAGAAGAAAGTAGTATATTTCATAGACTGAGCTAGCAACCGATTCGGCTCCACGAGCCCAGTTGTCGGCTATCAAGGCCACACGTCATGTAATTCTGCTGCTGCTCCTCGTGTGAATGACTTAGCTCTGTCGCCCGGCGTCCTATTCAAATCTTGATTTTTTGAAAACAATGAACATTTAAAGGTAAACACCTCATTTCTCGACTATTTGTAGCAATGTATCTGCAAACTATTCAAGCTTCTTTTAAATATTGTTTATTAGAGAAATAGTGGTAATTTATAGTATATTTTTCTTCAAAAAGCATATTGCCCCATCGTCATGGATGAGATTACTTTAAAAAATGAATGTATGTTTAAAAGTCAGAACAAACTGGGAACACTTTTCTGAATTGTGGCATGTTCTTAGCAACATTAATCTTTCTTGCCAACATTAATTTTCTTGCAGTCACTAATTGTGTTATTACATACATTTACATCAGTTAAACAGGACAAACCGGTGCCATATAGTTTGGGCTGTTCTGATGAATATTTCTCATGATGATTTGTTGTGTTTTGAGGGTTTTTTTGGTTGTTGTTTTGTTGTTGTTTTTGGGGGGTGTTCTTTTTGTGTGTGTTGTTGTTTTTGGGGTGGGGTGGGGTGGTGGTGGTGGTGGTATTTTTGGTGACAACATTAATGTTTTCGAATACAAAAAGGTTTTCTTGAATATATTTATAGATAACCAGCAGATTAACCGACAGTGATTAGAAATAAGCTTTGATGTTCTTTTCCGCTTCTTTTTTTTTTTAAATACATATTCGAAAAAATAATTAACACAGCTTGAAGAATACCAAGCATTATGGCAGACATTGAGTTATTCTATAGATTATATATTGTTTGTTGTTTAAGGACGCACTCAGCAATATTTCAGCTATGTGACGGCGGTCAGTAAATAATCGAGTCTGGACCAGATAATCCAATGATCAACCTCATGAGTATCCATTGGCGGATCCCCTGAACTCTACCATGTCGTCGTTCGGGTTCCATCATTGTTTTCGAAAAGGACTCGAGCTCAAAAACACATGTCTGTTTGAATGTGAGTTTATTTTTACAACGCTTTTAGCAATATTCCAGCAATATCACGACGAGGGACACCAGAAATGGGCTTCACACATTGAACCCATGTGGGGAATCGAACTCGGACCTTCGGCGTGACGAGCGAATGCTTTAACCACTAGGCTACCCCACCGCCCCTTTGATGTTTGAAAACATGATTATGTGCATTCATTGTGTAGGTATATTGTCCTTCAAACAATTAAGAATAATAAGTGTCTTAATCTGCATGTCCGTCATTATATACGAATTACCTAAAATTAATCTTAGCGGTTGGGTAGCCTTGTGATGAAGGCGTTCGCTCGTCACGCCGTAGATCCGGGTTTGATTTCCCAGATAGATACATGTGTGAATCCCATTTCTGCTGTCCACCGACAAGATATTGCTGCAATATTGCTAATAGCGATGTAAAACTATACTGACTCACCCCAACAATAGCCACAACGTTTGATATTTTAAACAAAGATGTATATATGATAGGCGACATCTAGGTTTGTATTTCAACTTTATTCTGCAATTTTGTACATGTATTCTTTGTTCCAAGATATTCGCGCAATCTGAAAACTGCGATACCCGAATCATATCCAAGGGGCGCAACTCTGCTGAACTAGTCATGTCGTCACACGTGCCTACTAGTAGTCTAAACCTCATTTTTTGCATTAATATCTTGGTTGGGTTAATGTCACATGTTGAATTTGAGACTCAATTAACTACACTAAACACGATTGACTGCATGTCTATTTTCACATGAATATTAACTTGACCTATACATATCCCAGCACGTGGATTCGGAATCGTATTACAGCGACCTGCACATGCAGTCCATGGTTTGTTTGTTGTTTAACGCCGCACTCAGCAATATTCCAGCTATATGGCGGCGGTCTGTAAATAATCGTGACTGGACCAGACAATCCAGTGATCAACATCATGAATATCGACCTATGCAATTTGGATACGAGGACATGTGGCAACCAAGTCAGCGAGTCTTACCGCACGATTACGTTAGTCGCCCCTTATACGACAAGCTTGGGTTGCTGAAGACTAATTCTAACCTGGACCGAACTATGATGGATGGTGTTGCTAGTTGCTTTTCAACATGATCCCTTCCACACTTCTGCCAACGAGCACATAGATCCCACTGGTGAAGACATTGTGAAGGCATCCTCCTATTGGTGTAAAACGTACATCACATGCAGCAGAAATGACGCCATCATGCTTTACTCTATTTACATAATCCTTGCTGGAAAGTTATTTACCCGTGAAGGTCCGGGTTAGAATATTGATCTTCAGTAACCCATGTTTGTCGTAAGAGCCGACTAACGGGATCGGGTGATCTGGCTCGCTGACGTGGTTGACATATGTCATCGGTTCCCAGTTGCGCAGATCGATGCGCATGCTGTTGATCACTGGATTGTCTGGCCCAGACTCGATTATATAGCTGGGATATTGCTGAGTGCGGCGTAAAACTCACTCACTCACTTAACGTTTATTAAGATGTTGAATTCTGACGTTGCCAACTCTGGTAAATAAGGACCATGTGAAATGAGACAACAGACTTACAGACTTGGGCTCATTTGGAACCACATACCATTTCCACGATGTTCAATCCTGTTAATCACAAGCAGCTGCCTCAGCAGAGCACCACAATATTGGCCAAAATAATAGCCTGACTTTTCGGGATAATGTCCAAAAAGTAAATTCCTTTCCAAAAAAGACCCCGGATCCATCACTTTATCAACTGATGGACCAGACGTCGATGGAAGACGTTTCCCCTGATTTGACTGTTGTTATGCTGTATCTGATCCCAAATCACCAAGATAGTCTGCTTGTGTGTTCTTCAGAGCGATATACAGTCTCATGAAACTGATGAACCTGGACCATTTCTGATCAGAAGGTGGAGTCGGATCAGAGTCAGAAGCCCTGGAGTGAGTGAGTTTAGGTTTACGCTGCTTTTAGCAATATATCAGCAATATCGGCGGGGGTGTTCTTTTTGTTTGGGGGGTATTTTTTTGCGACAACATTAATGTTTTCGAGTACACATATATTTATGAATCTTATAGTCGTCAATAAAACTTATATTTCTAGGTAAATATGATGCATACCAGCATGTTCAGTCACGTAAACCACAAAAAATAAGAGACGTTAGTTGCGATCGATGTGCTTAGGTGCGCGGAATTACCGGACGGCATTGTATTTGATTTCCGATGAAGATGCATCAGTCTGGAGATTATGTATCCCTGTATACAACTGAGAAGGAAAAAATAATAAGTTTGATTTTAACCAAACGTGACATGGCAGCCATACTGGAATTTCAGTTCTAATGCCTTGAACATTATTAAACTTGATCTTCGTCGTAATAACAAACACTCACACCCAATTTTAGCCGATACCGATACTTGCGACACAAAACCCACTGATCTTACTATAAACTGGCGGTCAAGCTGAATATTAATCTCCAAACCTGTTTTGAAGGATGTTTCATGGACACCTGCCGTTATTGCACTGAGCATCTGGTACACTCAGCGGGGTTCCAGAAGTGTAAACTACACTTGTCGGTTCATGTCTCATAGTTTATCAAGTTCATGGTTCAATATCGGTTTTACTGCATATGTTACACCCAATCTGTGCAACTACACATTGCCTGTATTGACAAGGCCGTTTGTCCAATGCGTGCGATGTGCAATACAACTTGCCTATTATTTGCTCATTGCATGAAATGGGAAATAGTTGTGAGTAGTATCAGTTTTACTGCATGTGTTACACCCAATCTGTGCAGCTGCACAATGCTTGTGTTGGGAAGGCCGTTTGCCTTATATGTGTGGGATGTGCAATAGAGCCGCGTCCATTATCTGCTCATTGCATGAAATGGGCAACACTGTAGTTGTAAATGAAAAATAATGCTCCCAGTATTTCACAATATGGACAACCAGCTTGCTCAGTTCATGCATTGGTTGGTAATTGTTCTGCCAAATGCACGTACAGTAGAACACGGATATAACGAACTCCAAGGGACCACGAAATTTAGTTCGCTATATCCGGTGTTCGTTATTCACATTTGACCGCCATCTTGGATTGTAGAGATGTAGAGACACGTATATGCTGAGGCTACAAATATTAATTCTTGTACATGTACATTGACATAACATTAAAATTCCGAATTTATCATTCACAGACATTAGCTAGAACATGTTTAACAATCACAACAATCTCAACAATACATGTATATAACTTAATTACGTTTAACAAAGTCCACAATT